TGAAACAAGCATAGAATAGCATTCAAGGTTGAACCAGTAAAATAAATGCTCACCTTGCCGTAACCAAATACTTAGGGGCATTAGACATGCTTTCCATGCCACCAGCCACAACAACGTCATTAACGCCTAATTGGATACTTTGTGATGCAAGCATTACGGCTGGGACAGAAAGAAACCATCACACTTACTCAGAGTGACTGTAGCTACCAGAATAAGAAAAAGGAAAATAATTGGTTCACCCCTTTTTATTCAACTCATACCTTTCCACACCCGCCTCCGTGCAATCATTAAAATTTTTTAATGAACCGATGAAGTGCGTAGGTGTATAGAAATTACTGTCCTAGTACGAATAAACAGAGCATTAAGAATACCTTTGATGCTGGCTGAACAGACTTTATTAACAGTGGTGCAGATGACTGAATTGGGAATACCAGCACCCAAGGCAGCCTGTCTAGCAGGAGCTTGGCCTAAGTTTGCACTGAGAACGTTCCCAAAGAAGACCTCTTGCACGAGTGATGGGTCAACGTTTGCTCTCTTAAGGGCACCTAATTCATATATACACCCATAATGAAAATGAATTTGGTTCGTTCAAGGGTAAACAAGAGAGAAATTTAAGTTAGGAATCTTACAGTTGATTGCAATGGATCCAAGCTGAGTAGCAGAGAACGAGGAAAGGGAACCAAGAAAACCCCCTATTGGAGTACGCGCAACACCCACAATGCAAACATCTACAGCAAACAAAATCAAAGGAAGAGAGCAATACCAGAATTAAGAGTAAGACCCACATAAAAAAAAAAAAAAAAAAAAAACAAATAGAGAAGGACAGGTATAAGATAAAAGAGTGAAGTTGCGGGTGAAGTCAAAAATGAAGAAAAGAAAGAAAAAAGATTGAGAATTTGAAAGGAAAGGAAAGAACCTCGAGGTCTAATAGAAGAATCTGAGGACGATTGACGATCAGCAAGCATAGCTATGGAGAAGAGCCGTTGCAGTTGCAGTCGCAGTCGCAGTTGCAGAGAGAAGACCAAAAACATGAACAGAGAAAGAAGATAAAGTGAAATAACTTCTATCAGTACTTTTTTAGACATTTTTTAGCATGAATTTTACTTCAAATTTAGCTTATTATATAAATAACAATTAAAAATATTTTAATTTAATAAAAGAATTTGAATTATCATTCTCATGGATTATATAATTATTTCTTATATAAATGCTTTGTAGTCTGTTTTTGCTTCTGAGAAATGTAGTAGTCTGTTCTTGTTTGTTTGCCCTTGGGGCGCACTTACAAAGATTGTAGCTGTGTTTGGAGTAGTTGGACCCACACCACACCCAATGCTAGCATCCAATCCAAATTTTAAAGACTATGCCGTTTTTTAATGGTTTTAGTGACGCAATGAATTATTTGGGCACCCAAAAAAATTTTTTTTTAATGATTGAGATTTTATATTGATTTAATACTTATAAAGTTTATTAATTTAATACTTAATGATTCTTTGATTCTATAATAAAAACTAACTTAAAACACATGGCATATCCTAATCCCAGAGAAATCTTAACTCACCTTCTCGTGTGGTGTAGCCTAACACCACCATGCCTGATGATATGGAAATACGACTCTTCCCCAAGAGACACCAAACCCTATTTATGTTAGTGGTGGAATTAGACATCATGGAAGAGGAAGAAGGTGGGTGGGCCATCGGTTCACTGGTGGCAATGCTGGTGGTGGCCGCCGTGCTATTTTTCGCTCCCCTGGGAATAGGACATCTGCACCCTCTTCCTGGTTTCATTCTTCTCGTCTTCCCTGTGCTGTTGGTAGCCATCTTCAACGTCCTCTCTCATACCTCCAAACAACCATTCTTTCTTTCTTTTCTAGGATCAAATGAAAGCCCTGTGCTCTTTTAATTTAACCCCCTGTATAGGTTCTTCAATACAATAAAAGGAAGGAAATATCCAAGCTAGCTCTATATATCAGCAATAGGCTTGCATCCAACTATCTGGATGCGAACGCAAAACAATCTGTACGGATAGTTACTTCCTATTGGAGGGAGAGACATTCAAAGTCCATTACTATGCAATAGCATGCAGTCTGGCCAAAAAAAACCCAAGGCAATAGCATGCAGATTGCCTTTTGCATGGCACTCTCCACTCCAGCCAGAGCAGCAGTCTTAAATCTCTTTCAATGGAAGTCAATAGAGTAAGACATAATTATACATACATACACCGATAGAAAATGCTACAATATCCTGTATTTCAGCGATTTACAAAATTTGTAACAAACCCATGAATCTGTCTTAGAAAAAGCAAAATGGCGCAGAAACACAAGTTGGGTAGCCTAATCATTAAATCTTAAACTAAAGAATGAAATATGTAAATATAATAGGTGCCTAAAAATTAGCTACCATCATCTGCTTTAAGGTCAGATGGATCATCACAATCCTTATAACCAATATCCACCACCTTATCGTTGTCATTGTTTGCATGATTCATAGAATTTCCTGCACTGGCATGTTCATCATTACCATAGAGCGTGTTCAATTCCTGAAAATATGTGCATCTCTTGCCATTGTCAAATCGCTTCCTAACACTTCCCATTGATTTTCTGAAGTACTTGTTGATGTTTTCCCATTTCTCTTTACATTTCTTTGCACTACGGTTGTAGCCCATATCATGCATTCCAGTGGATATCTCATCCCACATAGAGCATTTGGAGCCTGTAAGATGAAACTTCTTGTCCAAAGCAGTTCGAAGCATTATGAGGGCTTGCACTTCATCATCTGGCCATCTTCTATTGTTAGTATCAAACTCGAGCACAATGTCTTTCCTAAGATGATTTTCACCCCCACTGGACTGTGCTTTTGCTTCTTGCCAACTCTTACTCTCTACATCTCCTTGAAGAACATGATGATCCTCACTCACATTATTGCCTCCATTATCTTCCATGGTTGATATTGTTGATGGTAAAGGTAGATCAATTTCATGACCCAAAACATTCTGGATGATGGAAATAAGAGTCAGGTTACGAGACATCTCTTGAATTCTTGCTTCCTCATCACTTTTCATCCTTTCCATCTCTTGTCGCCTCCAAGCTTCTTCTCTGATTATTCTCTCTTTTTCTATATTCTCAAGCATCTGTATCAACTGCTTATGCATCTCATCTTGCCTCTCCAACACTGTCATAACCAAATTTTCCAAGAAAGGTTCAACTTTTCTTGCTTTTCGCTTTCTTTTATGGTTTGCTGGTTCTTTAATGCTTGCTAATGAATCATTTTCATCACAGTCTGAAGATGACCTGAAAACAAATCAAAACCAAATAAGTTCACTTTAAAAGAAATCATATATATTTTAAAAGTCAATAAGATGGACCGAAAGTAAAAAATGGATGAATTGACTTAAAAGTCTCCTAAACAACTGTTTGCATCCTGACCCAGTTATGTCTTACCTTTTACAAAGTTGTATGAGATTTTTAATTGCAAAATGCATACACATAGAACTCAACAATTATATAATATTGTTCTCCTCTGCAAAGCAAACATTAGGATTAGGAATACTATATATATCTATCTCAAACCTCAAGAATAAAACAGAAAATGATGATAAAGAGATTAATTAGTGTGGCTGCAAGCTTTGATTTTTTATTTTTATTTTTTTTAAATTATTTTCTAAACAATAAATCCGACTCAATGAAACACAAGCAACAAGCCTCCTTTGGGTCCATGAAATGATAAAGACATGGAACATTACAATGTAGAAAGCACCATTATTAAGGTTAATATCCCCCACCATAAACCATGTGGTCTGGTAGTAGAGTTTCAATCGACTCAATCCTAGTCTCCAGTACTAACAAGACAATTAAGGTTAATACCCATAATATATCTTATACAAAAGGGGGCAATCAGACAGGCAGACAGTATCAATTTTAAGAGAAAAGAAAATGCAGAGGAAAAAATAAGCTACCTTGATAACTCCTCCAAGAGCCCTTCCTGAACATCCAGGTCCCGATTCTCCTCGTCAAAGCAAGGCCCATTTCCTCCTCCTCCGCCGCCCACATCACCCAATTCAGCAGCCTCAGCTTTAATCGGAGGCACCAAGTAGTCGGTGGTGGACTCTCCATTAACATGGCACGCCTGATCGTGAAGAAACTCAACTACCTCAGCGTACTCCACCGGATCCTCTACCGCCTGAGAGCAGGTACCGTTGTACCTGATTGGACGCAGCTTCTGCAGCGGCAGATTCGGACGGTGACCCAACATCAGTGGATCCTCCGGCGAGCAAATCACGGCAGCTAAATCTAGAGAATCAGAGAATGGTGCCACGTGTTGCGGCAAGTCCTTGCGGTGGCCGGTGAAAAGCTCCATCTCCTCCATTACGTTGCGGTAAAATTTAAAAGTGCAGACGGCGTCAAGGGTTTTGCAGATGGGTGAAAATGAATTGTGGTTAGTAAAAAGGTAAAACCATATTATATGGTAGGGGCTCTGTCTAATTTAAAATTACGCTTTTGGTCTTCTATTCTCTGATAATTACATCTATGACTACTGTTTACGTGTCAACGCATTTGGCCTTTTATTTCTTTCCTTTTTCTTTTTCTAACTTTTCCTTTTAATTTTTCTTTTTTAAAAAAGTAATTTTAGTACGAATTATATTCTTTTTATATAATTTAAAATCAAAATTTATTTATTAATAAATTTTAATAATTTGAGCACTTAAAATGTATAAAAAATATAATTCATATTAAAAAGTATTTTTCTTTTTCTTTTTATAATAGTATATATTTTGGCCAAACTCCCTTTTTTTTTTTTCCATTTTTTTCTCTGTTGACCGTGTATTGACTCCTTAGTTAACTTGTTACTTGTTAGGGTATGTTACCGACATGCGTTGCATCCAGGCAACGTTTTAAAAACCGGAAAACCGTTCAACCGGACGGTTTAAATCCTTTGTAGGATATACCTTAAATTTGCTACCCCCGGAGGCTTGAACACATGACTTCAAGAAGATTTTCTGTGACTTTTGCCACTGAGACGTTACCTCTTTGATTGAAATGATTTGCTAACAATTTTATTTATGTTATTTTTGAAAGAAAAGAATTGACCATGCCATCCAATAGAATCGAACTTTCTTCCTTCCCTTGTATCAATTTTGATGTTAAAATTAATATAGTGTTACTTTAACTTTTATCTTAAATATATAAATTAAAAGTGTGATAAATATAATTTTTTGTAATTAATTTATAT